ACAAGTGGGATACAAAATTTTTTAATATTTAGTCACCAGAATCATGACACTCACCTTTAGGAAACAACAACTGCAGGATATTCAAGGCGACATAAAAACACATTCATAATCGGAGATGTTAATGCACCACTCTCAGTTTAAGACAGATTAAATGAACAGAGAACAGGAAGATAGAAGACTTAAACAACATGATCATAGTAAGGTGGATCTTATTTATGTTTTCTGAACTCTGTACCTTGATGATAGAGACTATACCTCCTGCCCAAGTACCCCTGGAACATTCACAAAAATTGATCAGGCATTAGGTCACAAAGAAACATGTAAGTAGTTCCATAAAGTAGAAGTATTACACTATCTGATCACACTGCAAGAAAACTAGAAATTACCAGCAAAATTAAAGTATCAAAGGCCCTTTTACTGGAAATTTAAAAACCTGTTAAACTACAGTCATGTGCCGCGTAATGACATTGCCATCAACGACACACTGCATATATGACAGTGGTCCTCTAAAATTACAATACTGTAGTTTTATTCTACCTTTTCTATGTTTAGATAAGTTATAATACCCAAATACTTACCATTGTGTTATGCTTGCCTGCAGTATTCAGAACAGTAACATGCTGTACAGGTTTGTAACCTAGGAGCAATAGGCTATACCGTACAGCCTAGGCATGTAATAGGTTATACAATACAGTTTTTTTTAAGTACACTGTGATCGTTTGGTTAATGATGAAATTGCCTAACGATGGCATTTGTTAGAGTGTATCCCCATTGTTAAGTGATGCATGACTGTACTCTTGGGTGAAAAGGAAAATAAAAACTAAAAGTTATAGAAAAAAATGATAATATAAACACTACTTACCAGAATCTATGAGATAAATTTAGAGCAAAGATCAGAGGAAAATCTATGGCATTAAACAAGGAGGTACATAATGTCAGTATGTCTTTTTACTGATGATACTAGTGTTGATAATTTGATTACAGTGGCCAGTTCTTTCTACTATAAAGTTAACTGTTTTTGTAAGAAATAATCTTGTGGGAAGATATTTGCAACTATGTCAGCACTGTGTTTCTTGTCATACTTTTGCCTGTTAATTGTCGCATCCAACAGTGAATCTTGCCCACATTACTATCTGACCCTCCAAGAAAAAGCTTGACAATCTCTGATTTTTTTCTGTTTGCAAATGATATTGTAGAACACCTGGAGAATCAGTGTTAAAGAGAAAGATGTATAGTGTATGTCACAGAACCCTGAATTTCTTCATAGAGGGAGATTGAAAGTTTAGGAGAAGGTGAGAGGATGCTTTAAATCATGAGCCAGCAAGCTTTATCTGTAAAGGGCCAGATGAATATCTGTGAGCTATGCTGTCTGTGTCACTACTCTCATTGCTGTTGTAGTGCAAAAGCTGCCATGGCCAACTCGTAAACAAACGAGACTGACTGTGTTCCAACAAGTCTGTTAAAAAAAAATAGGTTTTATGTTTAGTGCCGTAGATTTTCCTCTGATCTGCAGGCCAGATTTGGCCCACAGACACTAGTTTGCCTTAGATTATGGGGAATGAAATATGAAAAGGATGTTCATTCTTACTATTTTCTCTCATATCTCTTCAGTTCTTCCACACATTTTCTTATTGCCTTAATCTGCTTCAGTTACATAACACCTTGCCTGGACACACGGGCCACGTGCTAATAACACTCTCATGTGTACTGTCTCACTCATTCATATTCCTGAACATGATATAATTTTCCTGGGAAGGAATTATTTCTTTCTATATCACATACTCCAGATTTGGATCAGAGTTTAGGAAAAGAAAGGAAACAAGAACCAAGGAAGGAGTAAGGAGTGGAGAATAAATGCAGAGGGAGGGGACGGGTGGGGGAGGAACCTGAGTCCTGTAAAAGAGAGGCTGTGTGGAGGAGATAGACGAGGTCCTTGCAGTGTGTGGTATCATATTGAAGCATAAGATATAAGAGAAAAAGTAGGATTGTATTCAAGTAGAAGTAGAAGTGTATTCAGAGATGGAGGCGTGGTTTGTTTCCTGAAGTGTGAAAGAAGGAAATGCCAAGGAATTGAGGTAGTTGGAAAAAAAGCAGAATAATGGCTAGACATAAGGGAAAAAGGGGCTTGGAAGAATACTGAGTGATTAAAATGGAAAAAAGGTGAAAATAATAGACTAAGCTTCTTCAGTTCAAATATTCATCTATTTCCGTTTCTCTTTCCTCAGGAATAGAGGGAATTCTTTCAATAAACATTTGGATTACCATGTAGTACATGTATGTTAGTGTCCATTGTGACTTTTGCATCAATAAATAAATTATATTGAACTAATATCTGAAAAATCCATTAGTAGCCAATTTATTTCTGATCTTTAATTATCTCTATAATAAATCTGTTTATTTGAACTATTTTAGGCCAAACTACCTTTTAAATATGCTTCCACTGTCAGAACTACAGACACTACTCGGTTATAAGTTTTTTTTCTGGGAGCCATTATCAGTACTTTTCTAGATTATATCATTGTAAATTGTTGATAAAGAGGTTCATTCTAGCGTTGACCCATTTAGGCAAAGGTAGTGGTGAAGGTCATCGGTCACCAAGTCAGGTGGAACAAGTCCCTGAAAAATCACTGGTCTTCTCACAGCCTATGAAGTACTCGTGACACCACTGCCAGGATCTAACTGTGACTCTTAAAGTGGCTTACTGAGAGGATGCCTGTGTTGCCACTCACAGTAATTACAGGAGTCAGTATAATGTACTGAAGACTGATTTGTCTACTTTGAGACATTCCAGGTCACTTCTAAGAGGAGGTTTCATTGTGTACTAAGTATTGTGTTCAGTCAGCAATAGTTAAAAAAAAAAAAACAAACCTAGAACATAGCGTTGTAGAACTGGCAGGAGCCTTTTCACTTGGTGAACGATAACTGTGAACTAAAAAAGCCTCTCATGGGAGGGTCTAAGGAAGAGATGACCAACCGTGTAAATAAGACCTGGAATTACTTTGAAAGAAATATATAGACAAATACCAGTTAATATTTGCTATTTTTACCCCCAGGTCAGTTCATGCTGAACTATATAAACTGTATAATTACAGGAAGTCTGGTTTTCCCTCTAGGGCAAGAATTTCCTTCCTCTTGTTTGTGTTGCTAGGGCATTGCATGTAGTAGGTGCTTAGTAAAAAGTCTTCAAGTGGCTGGGCGCGGTGGTTCACATCTGTAATCCCAGCACTTTGGGAGGCCGAGGTGGGCGGATCACTTGAGGCCAGGAGTTTAAGACCTGCCCAGCCAACATGGCAAAACCCCATCTCTACTAAAAATATAAAAAATTAGCTGGGCATGGTGGTGCATGCCTGTAATCCCAGCTACTTGGGAGGCCAAGGCAGGAGAATCACTTGGACCCCAGTGGTGGAGGTTGCAGTGAGCCGAGATTATGCCACTGCACCCCAGTCTGGGAGACAGAGCATGATTCTGTCTCAAAAATTAAAAAAAAAAATCTGCGAGTGAAAAAGTAATACACATTTCACACTGTAAAAAAAATAACATAGCTGATTGATCTGACACCTGTTTATTTCATTATGGCACTGCAAAAGTTGATTATACAAATTAGGTCATTCTTGTCATATTTCAACTAAATCAATCAAGAGGCCAGAGGGAGAAAGTACTTGGGGCATATAGCACCTGCTCCAAGGATTTGATTTCTTGCAAGCCCAGCTGCTGAAATGGCCTCTTGTGACTCTAACACTAAATTTACATACCTCTGTCACTCACCAGTCAGAGCCTGCCAGCTCCCAAAAGCTTCTCTAGTGCCAATGAGCTTTCTTTCAAAACAGTATGTGACATCTCTCTAATAAAACCCCCAACCTCTTCTTTGGTCTTCAGATATACCAGAGACCCACTCAGTCTATATATGTGCCCCAAATTGTAGTTCTTGCTTCCCAAATGAAATGTTAATTTGGAGATTCATCTCTGTATTTTATTTGGAGTTCAACAGTACTTAACATTTTCCTGTTTAGATTTTTTTTTAAATTCTCTAACAGGCCGGGCGCAGTAGCTCATGCCTGTAATCCCAGCACTTTGGGAGGCCGAGGTGGGTGGATCATCTGAGGTCAGGAGTTCAAGACCAGCCTACCCAACATGGTGAAACCCTGTCTCTATTAAAATACAAAAAATAGCCGGGCATAGTGGTGGATGCCTGTAATTCCAGCTATTCAGGAGGCTGAGGCAAGAGAATCACTTGAATCCGAGAGGTGGAGGTTGCAGTGAACCAAGATCATGCCACCGCACTCCAGCCTGGGCGACAAGAGTGAAACTCTGTCTCAAAAAAAAAAAAAAAAAGATGTTGTTTTAATTGACAAAGACTTCTTTGAAAATAGATGAAATACTTCTTACTTATAAAGTGATTGTCAAATTAGTGTGTTATTGTTTTAGAATTTGTATTTTAAAATCAACTTGAAAATTCTAATTGATCAAAATGTTAAAGTTTTATTTTGTAGAATTGGCATGACCTCAGGTTTTTTTTTTTTCTTTTCCTTTTTTCTTTCTTTCTTTTTTTTTTTTTTTTTGTTTCATTTTGTTTTTTGAGCTGGAGTCTTGCTCTGTCATCCAGGCTGGAGTGCAGTGGCACAATCTCGGCTTACTGCAACCTTCGCCTCCTAGATGCAAGCAATTCTCCTGCCTCAACCTCCTGAGTAGCTGGGATTACAGGCACCCGCCACCACGCCTAGCTATTTTTTGTATTTTTAGTAGAGACAGGGTTTCACCATGTTGGCCAGGCTGGTCTCGAACTCCTGGCCTCAAGGTGATCCCGCCCCTCAGCCCTCCCAAAGTGCTGGGGTTACAGGCGTGAGCCACCATGCCCGGCCAAACTAAGTTTTCAAGGTGCTTTTTTTTTTTTAACTCTCTTAATTATACGTGAACTTCATTTAAATGAAGAAATATAATTATGTAAGATAGTATCATAGTAATTTTTGATTCTTGCCTTTTTTTCCTCCCTTCATATGTAGAATTGCCAATGCCACTCCCATCCCAGGAGACTTGCTTCGGGAAAATACAGATGAGGTATTTCCAGATGAACAGCTTAGCGATGGAGAAAATGGCATCCCTGTTGGTGTGTCACCAGATAAATTGCCTGGATCTCTGGGTCACCCCCGTCCCCAGGAGAAGGATGTTTGGGAAGAGATGGATGCCAACAAAAACAAGATAAAGCTTGGAATTTGTAAGGTATCAGTACCTTATAAACAACAGAAATGTATTTCTTACAGTTCAGAAGGCTGGGAAGTCCAAGAAGGAAGGCTAGGCAGGTTTGGTATCTGGTGAGGGTTGTTTTGTGGCTCCTCCTTGCTGAGTCCTCATGTAGATGGGGAAAGGTCTCTGTTGGACCTCTTTTGTAAGGACACCGCTCTCATTCATGAGGGCTCTGCCTTCTTGACCTAATTACCTCCCAAAGACCTGCCTCCTGATACCCTCACATTGGGAATTTGAATTTCAACAGGTGAATTTTGGAGGCCACAAACATTCAGACTATAGCAGGTGTATATGTTCAGTCATGGGAGTCATTTGCAAAATGATCTCTGGATCGATGTGATATGCCACAATGTGATTTGGCTGTTGACAAAGCACAATCTGGACCAATAGTAGTCAGGAATGAGTAGTGGAAAGTAGACAGGGAGTCAGTGTCAGAGTTTTGTAGTATCAGCTGTGGCTGTCTTTATGGCACCAAGAACAAACTGTTCTTATAGCAAAAAAATCACTGGTGACATTCTCAGTTGTCAGCCCATATGGATATCTGTGTATGTGAGAGAATGAAATGGCACTTGACATAGAAGATCTTAGTTACTTTAGTTTCTGTCTTTTACCCACTATCACTATTTAATCTGAGTGAAATTTGAATGGTAAATAGTTTTGACCGTAAGTCCATTATTTGTTATCATGTGCAGTTTATTGAATTTATAATATATAGTGCTGAACATTACAAGCTCTCATTTTGAACATCTGGCTAAGGCATTAAGCTAAATATTGAAGACAGTGTACTAAGCTAGGTGCTGTGCAGTTTAAGATACATCTTTTACCCTTAAGGAGCTTACAGTCTCTTTGGGTAGATATGTAGCTGCACAAGCAAATATAATACAAGACAGAACATTGTGCAAAACATTTAAAAGAATTAAAATGCATGCAGATGGGGTGGGAGTTGGGAACATGCCTTATGGAAGAAGTGGTTGAAGTAGAAGTAGAAGTAAAAATATGTACATGAGGGCCAGACATGGTGGCTCACACCTGTAATCCCAGCACTTTGAGAGGCCAGGGTGGGGGAGGGATCACCTGAAGTCAGGAGTTCAAGACCAGCCTGGCCAACATGGTGAAACCCTGTCTCTACTAAAAATACAAAAATTAACTGAGTGTGATGGTGGGTGCCTGTAATTCTAACTACTTGGGAGGCTGAGGCAGGAGAATTGCTTGAACCTGAGAGGTGGAGGTTGCAGTGTGCCAAGACCATGCCACTGCACTCCAGCCAGGGTAATAGAGTGGAAACTCCACCTCAAAAATAAATAAATAAATAAATGTACATATATGTGTATATATACACACTACTGAAAATACAAAATTAGCCAGGTATGGTGGCGCATGCCTGTAATTCCAGCTATTCAGGAGGCTGAGGCAAGAGAATCACTTGAATCCGAGAGGTGGAGGTTGCAGTGAACCAAGATCATGCCACCGCAGCCATTCTCCTGCCTCAGCCCTCCCGAGTAGATCTGGGACTGCAGGCGCACACCGTCACCAGCTAGTTTTTTTGTAATATTTTTTAGTAGAGAGGGGGTTTTCACCGTGTTAGCCCAGGATGGTCTCGACTCCTCGACCTCGTGATCTGCCTGTCTTGGCCTCCCAAAGTGGCTGGGATTACTGGCTTTGAGTCACCGCGCCCGACAAGTAGATTTAAAAGATACAATATAGCTGTTTTGAATTTTCCTCCTAGATGGACCAATGAATTCCTTAAAGTTACAAGCTCTATCCATGCACTTTTTCATGATTACATTTTATTATTTATTTATTTTGAGGTGGAGTTTCCACTCTATTACCCTGGCTGGAGGTGCAGCAGTGGCATGGTCTTGGCAACACTGCAACCTCACCTCTCAGGTTCGAAGCAATTCTCCTGCCTCAGCCTCCCAAGGATAGTTAGCAAATACAGGACCCCACCATCGACACTCAGTTAATTTTTGTATTTTTTAGTAGAGACAGGGGTTTACACCATGTTGGCCAGGCTTGGTCGTTGAAACCCTGACCTTCAGGTGATCCGTCACTCCCACCCTGGCCTCCTCAAAGTGCTGGGGATTTCCAGGTGTGAGCCACCGTGTCGTGGC